TCCCCTAAAGACCAGCTGTCATAGTAGTGTCACCTAGTTAATATTTTGCAAACTTACCTGAACCATTCATAAAGCTCGGTGACGTAGGTACCACCTTTTCTGCAGGGTAAGGTTGCAGTCTGTCCCATCTTTATCAGTGCAACAAAATCAACAACGGCAGAGGCGCATATATACGTAGCAAAGCCCAGCTTACTTCTCTCTTACTTAATCATTCTTACCAAAACCCTTCTGCATCTGTGAAATTAAACTAAAGTAATCTCCCCGCAGGAGGGCAACAGGCAGGCGAGTGACACACGTTAATTACCTCAAACACACATTACATGAGTGACACTTGAAATCCACTAGCTTCTCCAGCAGCAGTTGAGGATTATGCAGAACATTACATAAAACATTGTTTGCAGCTCCATGTTTTCCTTTGAAGCATCAAGTGTCAGTTGCTTGCGAGCAGACTTGTTCTGGTGACCTAATTAACAGTTAAAACCATTTTGTGGTCAAAACGTGTTGCTGAGAAAGCTTGTGAATATTCTCAGAAAAGTGAACGGGGACGGAAACCATCAAAGATGCTCACGGAAGATTGTGGTTGTTCTAGATTCATCATTTGAGTCAGCATTGTTCTCACAATACACTCAACAGCTTAAACAAGAAGCGTGAAGGTGCAATTTGAACATGCTTTTGTTTTTCTATCTGGAAATTGGAATGACAGGAAGAATAATTTGCTGAAATGTAATTCAAAGAAATTGGAGGAAAGTCATTAGTTAAGTTCTCATCCAATTTATTCCCTATACAATAATAAACGAATATTGACACATTATTTACATAATAATAGTTTGTTTAAAATTAATAACATTTTAAATGATTAAATAATTTGGATTAAGTTCAGCCATAAATAAATAATCTAGGAGGAGAAAATTAATATTTGCATCAAAATATGATATATTGAGCAAGTTTGGTCATTTTTTCCCCTAACACGATGCAGATGATCAATCAAACGCTGAAAAAATGCAATGACCATCCAGAAAACGCTTAATACCCATGAACTGAAGAACACTCTTTCTGGAGTCTCTTCTTAGATTTTTGTTGACAAACTATCATCACACTTTACAATTAAGAACTGAAAATTGTGTTTAAGCATTTGATTGATCGTTTGAATTTTGTAAGGGGGAAAAAAAAAATCATGTTTGGGGTCAGTAATTTAAAAAAAAGGTTTTTGTAAGCAGTCTCTAAAGCCCATCATTTATTTGATCAGAAATACAATAAAAATAGTAATATTGTAGAATGTTATTTGAAACAACTTAATATACAGTATTTTAAAATGGAATTTCTGTGATGTCAAAGCTGAATTTTCAGCATCATTACTCCAGTCTTCACTGTCACATGATCCTTCAGAAATCAATCTAAAATGCTGATTTGATGCTCAAGAAACATTTCTTATTATTCTGAATGCTGAAAACGATTGTAACTTAATATTTTTGCAGAAACTGATACATTGTTTTTCAAGATTCTTTGATGAATAGAAAGTAGAAAAAATGCATCCCATTCCTCGCTGAATAAAAGTATCATTTGCTTTAAAAAAAACAGCAAGGTATTTTCAACAAATGAAAGACCAACACAGATGTACAGGAAACTAATGTTGTTTATTTAAGAATCTTTTTACATGTCAATCTGGAGAGACAGATTCTCTGCTATTAACCAGACTTGTTGACAGCAGCAGTGATGGCATCTTGATAACAAACAGAGAAGGAAATAAGCAAAAGACAAAAAGGAGCCTCCCTGGATGAGGCCCCCGGTTCCACGACAGCCTTGTTTCAAAGGCTCAGACAGAGCGACGATGAGGCGCACGCATGCAGATCTGGTGGCTTGACCCAACGGCTGCTCCCCGACTGAGATATTCACGGAAATGATGAACAGTCTTCAGAGTATCCAAACCCATTTCATCACACACTCAACAATCAAAGAGAAACAGAACAACAAACATGTCTTATAAGGCAAAAACCTTTATCCAATACCATTAGACAGCTAACAGAACAACAAAAGAAGAAAAGCAAAGGGTACACAAAAGGCATGCATGAATGTAACGTTACTGGAACATAATAAAATCAAGAAATTCTACAGGCTACATAGAGAGAGAGAGATCTGAAATTAGAACAAAAGCGACAGAAGAAAAGGTCTGTGGTTTAAACTCACGTACAGTACTTGATTTCTGCCAAGTGCAACAGCAGAACGACACTCCAAACAGAACATAGTCACGTTAAAAACCAGTGACGCTATGTGGGGGAGTGGATGGTAATAAAAAAAAAACACAATTGTCATTTTACCTATTTTAGGACCAGCCTGCAGTTATGGCACAGCTCAACGATCGTACATCGGGACGAACAAAGCAGCTGTTCCTGTGCCTAAGGCTGAAACTGCCCCATCAAAACCTGGCCAAGAATTGTGATTGGCTAACACATCTAACCACCTGTATGACAAGCACTTACTGTTGATCCCATGAAATTTCAGTCTGGTTTAAGGAAATTACACTTTTGTATTTCGGGGCAATACAATACGTTTACAAAGCCAAGCGTTGGGTGAGCAATGGATCGCGGCAAGACTTATTTTCACAATAAAAACCCATTATGTTCACATCATCTAGCAGGATTTCATTTCCGCTGGATGGGCTGGGTGGGTTCCTCCCTTCAAGTAAGCTCTTGGCAGCATGTGGCAGAGCAGACAATGATATGAAGACATATTTTTAAAAGCAGCTCACACCATAGTCACAGAATCACAAGACATCTGACAGCACAGGGCAGCTGAGCGTTAACGGTACTTGAAATAGGTCTATATGCGGTCAAACTGCTTTGGTATAATTGGTCAAAATCGTCCATTTCCATCACCAGGTCATGAGATTCCTGTGGCACATATGCACCGTCACAGTAAAGCAGTTCAGTACGCTGACCGCCTGATTTAAAGGTCACCAGAAACAAGGGAAGCAAAATTTTGGAAGAAAATGTGCAAAGTCGGATACAAAGCCAGGCTGAAATGTGAATTCACTGAGCTTGAACGATTACCCGAGAGAAACTGTTTTGGAAAATATTTGATATGAGAGAGTGCGAAACAGAGAAAGACAGAGAGAGAATCAGTATCCCGAGGATGTGCATATGCAAATATGAACTCAATTATAATAGAAAAAACAGGGAATTGTTATAAGAAAGGGCATCATTCAATCATTTCAACAGCCTATGAGGATCATTTGCCCAAAATGAGGTGTCGATTTTTCGAGGCTGAAATCTGCAGTGGACATTGTCTTTTGATACGGTAGATCTATTCAAAGATTAATGTAATACCATTTAAAAACTGTAAAAACATGTTCTTAGGTCTCTTGCCTTAGGTTAAAGTAAGAGTTCAGCCAAAAATGACATTCCTTGACCACCTTCTTGTTCTAAACGCGTTTTCTTTTTTTTCCCCAAATGTCTGATATACAGTACACGACTTTGAATCTGAACAGATTTTAAATTACTAGGCATCGTACACTTGCCGACTTTGTAAATGGTTACAGAACAAACGACGTCATACGTTGAACGACTGATGATCCCACTCTACCAGAACACAACGAAATCACACAGAAACGTGCCTCATTGCTAGGAGTATGATAATGAAAAGAATGTGCTCTAAAAATGGCTCAAAATATCAAACAAGCTTCATATCCTCCGACTGCATGGAATCATAGTGTGATATCTGTGCCCATCATACACTATGCAATTTTCTTTGAAATCTCTCAACTCCGACTGACCCAAATCTGTAGACTGGCTCTGACTTTTGACAACCAGCAGTGACTCCTCCAGACTGTAAATCAGGGCAAAAGTTGTATAATGTATTCCAGCCTTAAGATAAGGTAAAACGCAACACTGAAACCAAGAAAATGTCACAAATGAGATCTACAGAGGTGGAAGTTGTATTTAAATTAGCGTACAGATCTTATGGACTATACCTCTATGATTCTTTTTAGTCCTCATTTAAGCTTGACAGCCCCTGGTCACAATTGACTTTCATTACTTGAAAAAAAAAGTGCCGTTAACATTCTTCTAATTCTAAACTTGTTCATAAAGAAAGTCGCACAGGTTTGGAAAAAACATGAGGGTGAGTAAATGATTATAGATGCTCATTTTAGGGTTAATTATACTTTTAAAAGTAGGTTACCATCATGACTTCATGTTTGGATTTATAATAAATCTTGGCTTGAAGCAAGAAGTTGCAACCATCTCTCCCCATTACTCTACTGTTGAGTTTTACACTATACAAAGTGATTGTTAGTATTTAGAAGTGTAGTAGAAATAAATTTATTCCCATAATTACATTATGGGATATAATTCCAAAATACAAAGTTTAAACAACAATCACCTACTAAATGCTTCTAACATTAGCATTTTATACCTCTTTGCACATAACTGAACAAGACCTAATGAAAGAATGAAGCCAAGAACAAAGTTTAAGTTAACACATCTTAACACAAGTGTCTAAAAAGTGGCACTTGGCTGATCCGACAAAGGATTTTGAGACTGGGTTTCCATGAATTGTTCCCTGAGAGACCCTGCCCTTATTTGCGGACAACTTTGTCCAATTTCCAATCACCATTTTACCGGTTGCTGATCTCCATCCAGTCATTCCTTCAGAACAGAAGATCTAATTATACACCTGAAGGGGAGAAAACTGGGAACATTTTCCCAGATCCTCTATATCTAGAATACAGCTTACTCACTGGGCCCATCAGTAAAAAAAGTTGTCCCAGGCCCTGTGAATTGTAGTGACGGCCCTATTTCAAGAGTAGGCCCTATTTCAAGAGTAGGCCCTATTTCAAGAGTAGCGACCCTGGCAGGTCAGACTAAGGTCTGACAGAAAAGCACACATTCACACACAGATTTGTAGACTAGAGAGGAAAAAACAAACAAATGTCAGGCCTAACGGTGAGCCTCAAATTTCCACACAGTATTTTCAAGTAGTTTTACAAATGACCACAAGTGCTCACCAATACCCCTCCCCATTGTTCCACTCTTGTTCATCATGAAACACTGAATTCAAGACAATTTCTGCTCTAAAAGGGAATAAAAACTACCAGGCTTCCCTTGCCAAAGGAATCCTATGACGTTTTTTTATATATATAGACACATATATATATATATATATATATTTAAAAAAAATCAGTCCAGCTTTGCCTCAAAGCATCCATGTACAGTTCAAGTGTTGATTGACTAAGGAAACAATTTTGAAATCCTTACGCCACTGGATCACAGTGGACCATTTTAGTTCTTGCCTTATGGCTTGGCTGAGGCATGTGTTCCTCAACATGGCAAAACAGGCCAATAACGTCTCTCCTTTCTGATCCATGCCAAGGGGTAAGAGTGACCTCAGAGCTGAGATGAAGAAATGCAAACCAGACCACATAAAACCTGGTCCTGTTGCTTAAGGTACTCAGCTTAAGGTACTCCGAGAGACCCCCATCCCCTTCGGTTCTCCTTCACCAAGGCCAGCCATCAGATAACCTGCCACGCAGCTTGTCCATACCCATTTAAAAACACTAATAAATTAAAAACATAAAAGTCAAAGAATTGTCGAAGGCTGGCCGCCTAGTGAAAATGAATGGATGGTTCATTTTAAAAAGCTCCAGATAAGACGGGTCTTTTAAAAAGAAAAAATTAGAGCTGTGTGTTCACAGAGACCAGTGCGTCTCGTCAAAGTCCACGGCTTCACCCAGGTTGGCATCGGTCTCCAGTAAGCTCATAATGACTGCCATGGCTGCCTCATCAGTGCTTAGAGCGGCCAACCCAGGAACCCCCTCAAGATCCAACTGAGAGCTTGCCTCTGGAGGAAGAGAATGGAAAAAAACTGAGTGCCATATTTTATTTGGTTAAAGCAAAGTATTGCACAGTATCTTTAGCGCAACATAATTTCAAAAAGATTTCCACTCTTATTTCTAAAAACAAAAGGGACAAAACATCTACATTTAATATAAGAACAACTGTAAAACATAAAAGTATTGATTTTAGTTTTTAATGACTTTGTCTTTAGTCAACAGCATAAATTTAAAATTTGGCCCAATTATCATTCATCTGCCATGACAAAAATATTTAGCAGCGTTTTACAAACGAATCATCAAATATGATACCAAATCATATTAATAATAATCATGATTCTCATAGCTTGCCTGGCAAAGGTCACGAGTTCATTTCCTAGAGAAATCAAAAACTGATACAATGTCTACCATGATGATTGGATAAAAGCATCTGGCAAATGCATAAATGTAATTCATATTACTGTATTATGAGAATCATCAATATGAATGAGAATAAACAAAACAAAACTACATAATATGAAAAAAAAAGCTGTTTTAAAAATATTTATTTTCTTTTTACAAAACAATCCTCCCGCATCCAGGCAAAACCCAGACATGTTCTTGAAAAGCTATTGTATCTTTAGTACCACATGACTAAATACAATATAGTGCCGCTTTATCTACCCATGAGATTTTCACCCGCTGTGAAGGGCCCACCCCGCGCCTCGTCCTCTGAGCTTGATTTGCCAGGCATCTCTACGTCTGTTGCTTCCCCATTTGGCACCTTACAGCATGAGGAGTACAGTTGTGTTAGAATGCAATAAAGCACAAAACCAGTAAACTCATTTCTAAACACAGACACAGTTGTTCGGCAGACTCACGTTGTTGCTGGCCTGCGGAAGAGCCAGTGGAGACTTGTCCTGCAGTACACTGAACGGACTTGTATTGCCGCTGGATGGTGAGGAGTTCATCCTTAAGAAAACAGCATGACATCAGAATTCAGAGATCTTTTCTTTAGGGATATGTAATATGTAGAGAACTACATATTTTCAAAACTGACTAATTGACGCAGTGCTTCCAAGTATCTTTTGCCATGCAAACTGCCTGCCAGCAACAGATAAAGTACAGTATGCCAAAACACTGCTGCTAAAATATCAAGTCATATCTGAACAAAAAACAAACAAAAAAAACTTAAATACAGAAGGAAAAAACTTAAACTAGTTGACCTTACTATTTAAGTAATTTGTTGGATGACTAGTTTACATTCAATCCATTTGCAATTTTCATAGCTTGTAATATTTCACTGTAAATCACGTATAATAATAATGTATAATAATGGAAAGGAAGCTACATAATTGGTATACCTATTATAGTCCATTATCTCATTAGCGATTTGGGTCCCTATGCATCCAGCGTAAATCATGCCTGATGCACTGGAGATCCCTGGGATAATTGGAAATTGTTGAGACTTCTTGGCATCATCTACGAAACAAAACACAAAAATTACTATCGTACCAGAGTCAGATATGTTTAAAGTTAATGATAACAGAGGCTTGCTAAACACAGGAGGGAAAAAATGCTGTTTGATGTCCTTAGCAAGTGGACTTTGCAGCGGTCTTGGTAATGTCCTCTGAGCAGCTTTTTCATGCAGGCAAAGGGCATACAAGTACAGTTAAAAAGACAAAAAAAAAAAAAAAAGTGATGCATTATCTAAAAATTTATCTCTTTTAACCCTTGCGCACTGTTCGATTTCTGTGCACACCCTGAATGGAGCGGGTCAAATTGACCCTAATTGGATTCAATACAATTCCTCAAATCACACTATGAAAAACAACAAAGATTTAGATACAAACTGTAAACTTTTAATATAAACATTTGTCAAACATTACAAAACAACATATCTGAAAATATGATTTATGAAAATGTTTTTTTTTAACCATTTTTTAAAACAGTTTTATTTTGACAAATTTTGAAAATAAACAGTATACTGACTTTTATGCATATATTTTACTTTTTTTTTTTTTTTTTTTTTTTTTTTACATTTTATGCTTTGAACATCATAACTGAACAATTAAATTTAGATGTATAATGAAAATGTTTAATTTTCCTAAGTTAACATTCCCTAGTTTCCTAAGACCTAGTTCCCAATAGTTTCCCTAGTTCTCTTACGAGAGGTTCTCTCGTATTGCGTAAGCTAGCTTACGCTGCGGGAAAGATTCATCTTTGCTGAGAGTTTGAAGCCAAAAAATTATTTCATAATTTGTATCCATTGACAACGCAGTTCCTCTGCGGCAGACCTAGAGCAGGCTAGCTAGCAGCTCATTGGTTCGCTCAGAGAGAACTGCTTAAGCCTATGGGAGAGCGGGGCTGAACCCACTGCCAATGAGAAGCGCCCGTGCGCTCATTGCATCATGGCCCGCCAGAATGGGCGTGGCTATGGTGTATATAACAGTCTCTCGCAGGCTTATATGTTGATTCATTTCATCTTCAGCAAGCTACACGCTTCTGCTGTCCTGAGAAAAGCCGTCGCCGTCGAGAAGGCATCACTCTAGCGAGCTCCCGGACCCTGAAGAAGCCGGCCGTCTTCGCCACCTTCAGCCGCCCTGCAAGCTAGCGCCATCCGACGACTGTATCCTTCTTTTCTCTATATCTAAAAGAGCCGAGCGTCTTTTTAAAGATGTCTCGTTTTTTCCTGCGGCTCTTGCCGCGCTCCTCTCGAGGACGGAGACCGCCATGTTATTTGCGCTCTCTGCCTGGGACTCGAGCACGCAGAACTCGCCCTCGCGGATGGAGGATGCGACTTCTGTGAGAGCCTGCCGTTGTCGTCCCTGCGGGCACGACTTCTGGCGGCAAAATCCGCTCCCGCGCCGCCTCTCTCTTCGCCGCGTAAAAAGAAACGCCGCTCCCAGAGGCTGCCGGAGCCCCCTGCGGAACCATGCGGGCCGCCGCCGCCGCTTCCCGCTTCCCGCTCTCCCTCCCCGCCCTAGCCGGACATACAGTTGCCGCCGAGTGGCCGCTCTGTCGCTTCCGATGACGCCGCGGAGGAGAAGGATTCCTGTTCACTGCTCGCGTCAGACAGTGAGGAATGGTCATCTCTCGGATCCACGAGAGAGTCGGCGGGGATCCGCGCCGGGATAGAGGAGGAACTAATGCGCCTCCTCTCACAGGCCGTCGAACGCCTCGGTCTCGAGTGGTCTCCTCCACCCGAGCAGGCCCCGAACCGGATGGACGGCAGCTTTTTTCATCGGCGCTCGACCCCCGCGTGCAACCGGGCCGCCCCATTCCTGCCTGAACTTCACACAGAGCTGACGAAGTCCTGGAATGCCCCGCTCTCGGCTAGAAACCGCTCCGATATATCCGCCTCGCTGCGCTCGGTGGACGGAGCCGCCGAAAAAGGTTATTCAGCCATGCCGCCCGTTGAGGACTTGGTCGCCGCACACCTCTGCCCGCCCTCTGCTAGATGGCGCTCTTCCCCCACGCTTCCTTCGAAAGCTTGCAGAGCGACCTCGAGCTTTCATGCTCGCGCCTACGCCGCCGCCGGTCAGGCCGCCACAGCGCTGCATTCTATGTCTGTCCTCCAAGTGTTACAGAGCGATATTCTCCGTGAGTGGGCCGAGAGCGGTAGAAACCCCTCCCCCGCTGTCACGGATCTGAGAAGTGCTACGGACCTCGCTCTTCGCGCCACTAAAGCCGCCGCACAAGCTCTGGGGAGATGCATGGCCAGCCTTTGTGTATCCGAGAGACACTTATGGCTCACGCTCGCCGACATGGGAGATTCTGAGCGCGCCGCGTTTCTTAACGCGCCCCTCTCCCCGACGGGCCTTTTTGGATCTGCTGTCACGGGAATCGTCGATCGCTTTTCCGAGGTCCAGAAAGCCACTCAGGCCATGAATGTGTTTCTGCCCCGCCGCGCTAGCTCTTCCGCAGGCCGCTCTCGCGAGCCTCCTGCCAGAGCTCCACCACAGCGCCCCCCTCCGCAGACTTAAACAGCCCAGCGCAGACAGGGCGGCCGCCCTCGCTCTCGCTCTGACAGCCGCCGCAGACCGCCGCCCCCACGGGGCCCGCGACCCAAGATCACGCTGAAGCCTGATCATCAGAAGTCTGCCTAGCAAAGTTAAGAAAACGACGGCGCTCTCCCGCTGCGGCCGGACCGCCGTCAAAGCTTCGCCCTCTGCCAGTCCCCGTTGTTTCGCCGACTGCTGTAGTGTTGACCGCCACAAACAAGCCGGTGTCCCAGCCCGCTTGCGAGCGACAAAAAGCCGTTTTCACGGCTACCCAGAGAAATCTCAAAAAGAGAAAATATGCCAGTTGTGTAGAAAATGTGCCCACAATCATGTGTTCACCCATACACACAAGCATAACATATCCCGTGTCTCTCTCAGAGCCCCATCACATGAAACGGGCACAGCCCGCTCTAATTTCAGAGAACATAAACACGCCCACGAGCTCATGCGCGTGTCCCCTCTCTGCTCGCTCTGTTTCACGGCCCATAGACTCCTCTCTGAGTGCAAATCCCGTTGCCACACACATTCAAAGCGCGCCCACACACTGTGTCCAGCCCGCTATGTGCAGCAATCAGGGCGATATAGCCATTCGGCCACTAGCCGCATGCTCCAAAGCGTGGGAAGCCATTCCAGGCATTTCCCCGTGGGTGCTAAGCATTATAAAGAACGGCTATCTGCTACAGTTTCGCCGCCGCCCGCCTCGTGCGCGCGCTCGGCTCGAATCTACTGTCAGCCCGCTGGCCGCCGGCACGCTCCGCTCAGAAATTGCGACGCTGTTGCAAAAGGGCGCCATAGAGAGAGTCCCACCATCTATGACCGAGTCGGGGTTTTACGGCCGTTATTTTCTGGTTCCCAAGAAAGACGGCGGCCTCAGACCGATTTTAGATCTCAGGTTTTGAACAAAGTGCTCATGAAGAGACCGTTCAAGATGCTCACTACCAGGAAACTCCTCGCGCAGGTGCGCCAGGGGGACTGGTTCGTCTCTCTAGACCTGAAAGACGCCTATTTTCAGATCCAGATAAATCCCCGTCACAGGCCATTCTTACGTTTCGCCTTCGAGGGTCATGTTTATCAATACGCCGTTCTCCCGTTCGGCTTATCCCTGGCACCCTGTACATTCACGAAGTGCATGGATACGGCGCTCGCCCCCCTGCGGAGCCAGGGGCTGCGCATATTGAATTATCTGGACGATTGGCTGATTTTGGCCCAATCACAGACGGAGCTTCTGTCGCACCGCGCAGTTCTCCTCGACCATCTGAAAACGCTGGGCCTCTCTGTCAACTGGACAAAGAGCTCCCTTCAACCCAGTCAATCGATTTCCTTTCTAGGAATAGATTTGAACTCGGTCACGATGACGGCTCGCCGGTCCACACAGCGCGCGCGCAGTGTTCAGCGACTGGCCGCCTCGTTTTCAGATGGGCACCCGCACACCTCTGAAAACTTTTCAGAGGATGCTGGGTTACATGGCCTCAGCCTCCGCTGTGCTTCAGCTGGGCCTTCTGCACATGCGCCCGCTTCAGCTGGGCCTTCTGCACATGCGCCCGCTTCAGCTTTGGTTAAACAGCCGTGTACCCCACCGCGCGTGGAACACGGGCCGCCAGCTGATCAGAGTTACGCAGACATGTCTCACGGCGCTGCAGCCATGGACAGTAGCAGAATGGTTTCGGCAGGGCGTCACGATGGGGACCTTTTCCCGCCGAAAAGTCATCTCGACAGATGCATCCAAGACGGGTTGGGGTGCAGTCTGCGAGGGCTCACCGGCCTTCGGCCATTGGTCGACACAGGAAAGCCCCTTACACATAAACTGTCTGGAAATGCTTGCGGTCGAGAACGCGCTCTCGCGCTTCCTCCCGCTCATTCGGGGACACCACGTCCTGATCCGTTCAGACAACATGGCTGTGGTCTCCTATCTCAACCGTCAGGGCGGTGTCAGATCCAGGAATCTCTTCCTACTGACACACCGCACTTTAGTTTGGTCTCAGAGCCGCCTGCTCTCGCTCAGAGCGACGCATGTGCCGGGCCATCTGAACGACGGTCCAGACATACTGTCCAGGAACCTCATCTCCTCAGGAGAATGGTCCCTGAACACACAAACGGTCCAAATACTGTGGCGGCTATTCGGCAGAGCAGAAGTGGACCTCTTCGCGTCAGAAGAGAACGCTCACTGCCCAATATTTTTTTCAAGGAGCGAGGACGCGCTAGCCCAGGAATGGCCTCGCCGCCCGCTCTATGCATTCCCTCCGATCGCTCTGCTACCACAGGTAATTCAGAGGATCAGGGACACACGCCACTCGGTGCTCCTCATAGCCCCGCGTTGGGAGAGTCAGAATTGGGTTCCGGAGCTCACTCAGCTGTCACAGACAGCCCCGTGGCCCATCCCAGTCAGAGCAGATCTCCTCTCTCAAGCTCGCGGCACGATCTGGCACCCCCATCCACGGCGCTGGGCGCTACATGCATGGGTGATCAACGACTATTCGTCGATTTGCCAGAGGGAGTAAGAAACACTATCATACAGGCTAGATCACCTTCCACGAGAAGGCTCTATGCGTCTAAATGGTCTGTGTTCTCAAAATGGTGCACCGACAAACATCTGGACCCACGGTCATGCGAGGTGCCGTCTTTGCTTGTTTTCCTTCAAGAGATGCTGGACAAGGGCAGGTCCCCCTCCACTCTCAAGGTTTACGTGGCAGCCGTCGCGGCGTTCTCTGAACCCCGACGCGCTCAGTCCCTGGGCAAAGACGAGTTAGTCATCCGCTTCCTCAGGGGAGCTAAGAGGATGAACCCTCCGCGCCCCCCTTCGGTTCCTATCTGGGATCTTTCTATAGTTCTCGAAGCTATGAAAGCACCCCCGTTCGAACCGCTCGAGTCTGTGGACCTAAAATACCTCTCGCTCAAAACCGTTTTTCTGACGGCTCTGTCCTCAGTAAAACGCGTGGGGGATCTTCACGCGCTCTCATCCAGCGCCGCGTGTCTTGAGTTTGGACCGAATGATTCTGTTGTCATTCTCAAACCTAGGCATGGCTATGTCCCGAAGGCGATTGGTACCCCGTTCAGGGCTCAGATTATTTCCCTATCGGCTCTGCCTTCATCCGATAGTGAGCGCGACGCCAATCTCCTCTGCCCGGTGCGGGCTCTGAGATTGTACACTACGCGCGCTGCCGCGTTCAGACGCGCTGAGCAGCTTTTCGTGTCGTTTGGGGGGCGCACCAAAGGTCTGGCCGCCTCTAAACAGACACTGTCTAGATGGATAGTAGACGCTATCGCCTCTGCTTACGCATCTAAATGCCTGCCCTGCCCTCTGGGCATCAGGGCGCACTCCACTAGAGGCATGGCCTCATCGTGGGCATGGTCCTGTGGAATTTCCATTCATGACATTTGTGTGGCCGCGGGATGGGCCTCCCCGTCCACTTTTGTCAGATTTTACAACTTGGAAGTTCCCGCCTTGCAGGCAAAATTACTAGCTGTCTAACGACCAGCTCCCTAAGAAGCTGCATTACTGGGAGTCCCTCACACAACCGGTTCGCCCCTTGTGCTCTCCTTAGATGCTTATGTATATACTTCATGTGCCCGCTCTGCCGGCCTCATATTACATTCACTCCACGTTAAAAATCCCCCGGTATCACCCTGGGATTCATGAGTGGATTCATAGCGCGCACGGCGTTGACCAGGTGTTCCCGCAGCGTAAGCTAGCTTACGCAATACGAGAGAACCTCTCGTAAGAGAACGAATCGGTTACCTAACGTAACCTCGGTTCTCTCTAGAAGAGGGAACGAGTATTGCGTTCCCGGCCGTGCTTGCGCTACTAGCGTTTCGCTTCACGCTGAAATAAATCAACATATAAGCCTGGGAGAGACTGTTATATACACCATAGCCACGCCCATTCTGGCGGGCCATGATGCAATGAGCGCGCGGGCGCTTCTCATTGGCAGCGGGTTCAGCCCCGCTCTCCCATAGGCTTAAGCAGTTCTCTCTGAGCGAACCAATGAGCTGCTAGCTAGCCTGCTCTAGGTCTGCCGCAGAGGAACTGCGTTGTCAATGGATACAAATTATGAAATAATTTTTTGGCTTCAAACTCTCAGCAAAGATGAATCTTTCCCGCAGCGTAAGCTAGCTTACGCAATACTCGTTCCCTCTTCTAGAGAGAACCGAGGTTACGTTAGGTAACCGATTCGTTTCATTCATTTTCTGTATCTTCAACAACATTTTCCTCAATCTCTGAAGCATCCTCTAACTCTGAAACATCTTCATCTGTATCAGTAGCACAGTCAAAAACCTGTGAAATTACTTATTTTACTGTCAAACTTTGGGAGCTAATTTTTTCTGCTTTCTATGTTGAAGTCTCGTGCTACACTAAGCAAAATTGTGGGAAAGCTCATTATTCACTCACAGGAGATTGAGAAACCAAACATAACAAAAACATACATATAATAAATGTTTTTTATAAATTGTTTGGCTCTGTAATAATGCATTTGAAAATCCTACATAAAAGTTTTGGTTAAAAGCTAGGTATTTCAGATATATTGAATATAGAAATGAGAGCTTATTTTACTCTCTGTGTCTGACAAAGATTTTCATCTGCAATTTGCAAATAATTTGATAAATTTGATAAATAATTAAACACTGATTTTAGCTTTTTCAAGTGTGTTTGGTTAGAGCACTTTTAGATACACTTGCACGTTAGAACTGGAGTTGAAGTTCCCTGACATACAAAAAATAAATGTTTTTATTTTGTGTCTGTACAGTTGCTTTTTGAATGGCTCACTAAGAGGGTCAACTTGACCCGCGAACACCACGAACGTAATATTATTATTTTTTGTATATGTCAAAACACAGCAGCATGTTCAAACTTTACATGCATGTTCATGATGACAGATGAAAAAAAGTCACAAAATATCAAGAACAAAAACAAAGGTTTAATATTATTTCAGGTAGCTTGAAAAAATAAATGATAGCTCATTTTTACCATCTGTGGCTGACAAAATATTTTTCTGTATTGAAATAAGTGTGGAAAAGCTTATTTTTTAGCTTCATACGGTTGTAAAAATACAAAATAACAAAATATAACCAATTTTTTATTATTATTTTGGGTCGGTACAGTTGCTTTAGAGCTTTAAAATATGTGGGTCAAATTGACCCGCGAACATCACGAACGTAAGAGTAATTTTGTTTGTATATGTCAAAACACATCAGCATGTTGAAACTTTGCATGCATGTTCATCATGATAAATGAGAAAAAGTCACAAAATATCAAGAAAAAAAACAAAGGTTAACCAGTATTTCCAACAACTAGAAAATGTAAACGGGTCAAATTGACCTGCAACATAACACAAGGGTTAACCGGAAGGCTAGACTTCCATTCATACAGCTGCCACATTGAATAATGTGTTTAACCCATTGTATTTCTATTTGTCTCTTTTCCCTTGTGTATGATCTTGCAATCCAATATGTAAATTATAGGTAACTATATTTACAACATTGGTAGATCTTAATACTCACCCTCCGAGGCCTTGGAACTGCTAGGCTGTTCGGCTTTATCCCCTGATCCACCTGGATTACTTTTACCGCTGAGTCAGGTGGAAAAGAGTCGATAATAATCTGTTATCTCATCGATCTCAGAATTGGGCTTCAACAGGTTGAATCATGACATTGATACTGAGCAATGGGCTGAAAAAAAAAGAAGGTACTTACGACATAACTGTGTTGGTTGACACTATGTATTCTACTTCTTTGGTCCAGGGATTTATAAAACTAAACCACTGACTTTGTAAGGTAACGAAAGAGCCATATTTCGTTTTGAACTTATAGCAATTTGTCTCAATCTTCTCTTTACTCCTCAGCACTGTAAAAAAGGAAGCAACCACAATTACACATTAAAGGGATAGTGCACCCAAAAATAAAATTTTATGTCATTTACTAACAAAATTCCAATTCCATATGACTTTATATAGAACACAAAAATAATGTTGAATGTACGGGATCACTTATTTGCATATAATGAAAGTAAATGGGGATCCAGGCTGTCAAAGCAGTCAATATAACTCATATTTTATATTTTGAGGAGCTTGACAGGCCCTCATTCACTTTCATTATTTGGACGAGTGGTCAGTACCATCAACATATACTGATTCGGATTTACACAAGAGCAAGTAAACAATGACCGTTTTTCACATAAAACTCAGAAAAGGTATTATATGCAACATGTACTTGCACATGCATGCATGTAATCCAATATAAATCAACGAGGATCTCTCTGAGGCACTGGCCTCGCGTATCTGCCATTGAAAGCTGTTCTAATGTTCTTTAGAAGTAAGACTAATGATTAATGATGGATGATGAGGATTTGGCTACTCTTGTCCGTCTCTGTTCTAGGCAATCTGCCCAGTTTCTTGGAAAATACTTTCAAGAAACTCTGTTTACAGCTCCAATGTTCCTAATAGTAAGAATCTGGATGCACTGTACCTTTTCTGTGTCTATCCGCCAAATGAGGCAGGTCGTCCAGGTGGAAGTATTCATAGCAGGATGTGCCTAGCAGCTCCTGGGGTAAGTAACCCAGAATAATGGTGGCTCTGTGTGCATAATACAAATGGACAGCAGTTTCTTAAATCACATTTCTTCACTGTACATAAAACATAAAGGTGATGCGAGTAATTTTTTTCAATGTTAAATACTTTCTCCTATCACAACATGCAGAGGCAACTGTAAGTATTTCCCAGAGAAAGTGTAAAGTAAACACTGTGGCACTATCAAAATTTGTAATTTGATAATCTCGGGTATCCTGACATGACAGCAGTGCTGTGCAGTTTGGGGCAGGACTATTTGCATTTCCAACCCATTGCAGATGATGAGAAAACGTTTAAAATTGCAGACGTAAAAAAAAAAAAAAAACATATAAAAGCCGGTTTCAAAGCATTCATTATATTTGGTACACCAGAAATTATACAGTTCAGCTTATTATCAGCTTCAATTATTATTGAACGATTTTCAAACTTGAGCAGATTAAAAAGCTAAAAAACTAGAATGATTTTTTTCCCATAATTATTCTTATTATATCAAGTCAAGTCATCCTTATTTATATAGCGCTTTTAACAATGTAGATTGTTTCAAAGCAGCTTTACAGAGATAAACATATAGTTTGAGGTAACAGAGATATAAAAGTATTTGTATTATATATTTATTAGATTTTAATTTGTATTGTATTATTATTATTATATTTTAAATAATTTACATAGATTACTGAAAAATACTGTTAAGTACTAATACTATTACGAAAAATGGTTTATGATTTACTCAAATTTTCTCTGCTAGTAAATTTCACAAATAATTACAAAACAACGGCAGGTAACATTGAATTAAGCATGCCATTTTGTAGTAGAAAGACTATTTTCTTGTAAATCATACTCCAATAATCCTTTTTTTACAACTTCAAAAAAACATTTTTTAGTGTAGTTACTCTCCAACGTTATAACTAAATATAGTTGTCTATCTTTAACAAGTGCCAAACTAATAGTTTTGATAAGAAAACACATGTCGCCCTCTAGTGAGTATGTCGTGTCCACATAAAGTCAACTTACTATTGAATAAATGAAGGTAATTACATACTGTGGGGCTATTTTTGTGTAAATGACACACATTTAGTTCAATCTAAAACAAGGGTAAACTAACCGTTGATCCACGAAGGTGAATTTCCCATCCATGGCGTAGCGGGTGACAAATTCGGAGGGCTTGACCTTGATCTCTCCGTTGGCCTGTGGGAGGGTGTGGGGGTGCACACGGCCCACTGCTACCAGGCAACTGAAGTGGGAGCTCTCTTTGTCCACCTCGGCCTCCCCCTCCGTGCCCAGCTGGCGCGTGGGCCAGACGCGCATGTATCCCGTGCAGTGCACGGTGCAGTACCGCTGGGACTCTGATGGGGCAGCCAATCAACACGAATCAATTTACAGGTGAGCTGTGAGCCAAATGTTCCACCATATGTTGTTAAAGAGGGACACAAGGTGCACGTTTCCTTCCCTTTTCGATTTGCTCTATTTAATCTAAAAACGTGTGGTGAAAAACATCTGACTTTTTTTTTTTTTTTTTGTATTGTGCCAAAAGTGACACATAAAGCTTAAATATAAGCTTTTGCTTAACATGTTGAACAAACTGAATTGTTGAAAAAACAGTTGATAATGCATGTTTAATGCATAAAAATAATCAATGCATAGCTTTACGGGGCTGTCTGAATGACTAGTCATCTAACTGCTCGGTCCAGTTTGGAAAAGACTATGCTCACCAAGAACAGAAACATCAATGCTATCCAAGTCCAGACATCACAGCACAACACTTTCCAAAGTGAAGTCACTATCCAACTATCCAAGTTTGTAGGGATACAGCTGTCGGAATAAAATCCCACAAGCTGTGCTCACACTACTGCATGTGGCGAGAAGAAAGAAGAAAAGATGACGTGCGTAATGGAGTAAATATGCAGGCCACGTCATCAACACGTCACAAAATGACCACTTGGATAACTGGTTCTCAGCAAGAACAGAGACATGAAGATGTTTTCAGGTCATATGCGGTCTGAAGTCAAGGAAATTGAAACTATATTTTTTCTTTTTTTACAGAGCAATCACAAAAGACTTCAGTAATGTGTTTCAACACAGTCGATTAGCTTCATGAACACAAGGCTCTTCTGATTCACTTAATGTCATCTCTGGAATTAGAAAACTACCTTTAACAACTTTACGACAGTAAAATTGTAATTCTACTGACCTTTCTTTTTTGAGGCACCAGCCTGAAAGTCCTTCTCCTCTTTAATGCTAACTTTGTTGTACTTCATTCGGCAGAAGAATGAGCGCCGGGCTCCAGAGCAAAGCCGAGCCGCTCCGACAGGGAGATCAGCCTGCACCTGCAACCCCGCTACACACACACACACACACACGAGAGAGAGTTGGATTGGTTAAAGGAATGCTTCCCCCAAAAATGTTCTGTTATCATTTACTCACCCTCATGTTGTTCCAAATCCTTACAAAAAAGCAATCCTATTTTCTTTACAAAAAGCAATTTTATGGCTTCGAAGGGCTTCAAATGCAGCGCATGAGTCATATGGACTCATTTTAATTGTGCTTTCTTTACCAGGATCCAGGTTTGAAACATGTGGGAAGGTAATAATGAACTATGAGCGAATAATAAACTAACACTTTAAACACTCATACATACATACAACTGCCATTCAAAAGTTTGGGTTCAGTATGATTTTTATTCAGCAAGGACACATTTAATTTATCAAAAGTGACAGTAAAGACATTTATAAAGTTGTAAAAGACTTCTATTTCAAATAAATGTTCTGTTGAACTTTCTATTCATCAAATAATCATGAAATAAATGTATCATAGTTTCCTTAAAAATATTAAGCAGTGATTGTTTTGAACACTGATAATAATAAATGTTTCTTGAGAAACAAATCAGAGTATTAGAAAGATTTCTGAAGCATCATGTGACACTGAATACTGGAGTGATAATGTTGAAAATCTAGCTTTGCCATCACAGGAATAAATTATATTTTAAAACATTAAAATGAAAACTACAATTTTAAATTGCAATAATATTTCACAATATTAGTTTTACTGCATTTATGATAAAAAAAAAAAAATCAGCCTTGGTGATCATAAGAGACTTCTTTCCAAAACAACTTTTAAATGGTAGTGTTTACTTTTGTTTATTTCGCAGGTTGAACACAGTGTGCACGGAAAGACATAAAACCGTTTAAGCACTTAAGAAAAGCATTTAGGAAGCATGCACAAACTTGATACCGATAACAACATTTATACGGCCTAAATATGCTTACTTTTGGCATCTATGAGGCGCTCCCGTGGGTAGAGTTCAGAGGCAGACAGCTGTTCCTTCACTTTTCCAATGTCCTTTGGATGAACATAATCAAACAGGCTCTGTCCAATTAACTCAGTCTGGGGAGAAAAATATTCAAATGAGCCATGATCTGACCAATATATTCTGCTAACAGTTCACAATATCATCAGCTTAACTGTTTATCATCAGGTAAACTAATGCATTTTTTTAAACGGTCCTCAAAATACTTCAAATATTATACTAACAGTAAAATGTTTGGACATACTAGACTGATTTATGTTACTTGTGACCTCATAAAACCCTTTAATCAAAAATCTTATGCTTAAAACCCCTTAACTGTCACCATTCCATATACGGGAGGCCGGAAATTTACTTCGCTATATTACTATTAAATCCTAATCTAATTATGACAATCTATATATCGTTGTAAAGCTCTAAGACTGCTAAATAGATATTTGACTGCTGTTTTTTGCTACAAATTATGTAGGAAGAGTAACCGATGAATTTTTGACAAGAGTGCACCTCAAAAAAATCTGCATCATAACAGGAGTTCTGACCTTTGTCACAAAAAGTTGACGCACACACCTTTAATAATTGAAACTTTGGTTTTCGTGCTAAAAGTTCATAATAAAACATATAATCTAGTATTTTTCAATAAAAATTATAATATAATATTATCCTCTAAAAAGTATAATATATATATATATATATATATATATATATATATATATATTGTCCTCTAAAATATAATATTATCTTTTTTAATCGCCTTTTTTTATTATATCACAAATTTTAGTAGTTATCATAAATTAGGTATCATTTGAAAGCTTACAAACTCAGAATTCATCCTGTGAAAACCATTTTGAAATTTAACGTTGCTTTACCATAGAAACGGTACTCTAAATTATTTTATCAGGCTCCTCCCCTTTTGGGCATCATTATATTTCATAATTTATGATCAAAACCTTTTCTAATTGACAGAATTGATATTTGGACAGAAATGTATTAATTTGTTAAGGCAGAACGTATACAACTAAATTCAATGGAATGTATGTCGCCCGGTGGCTATTTTTGGTACTACGCCTAAACAAAATCTCATGGGAACTTCAATTTTTGCGATATCAACTTCAAATTTGGAACATAACTAGGTTAGATATATGGCTTTGATTTTATAGTAATTTTAGAGTAAAATATAAAAATAAAAATATATAAAAATAAAATATATATATAGTACAGTATATTTGATTTACTGTAAATTTAAACTTCCATAACTTTTTCATACAGCAATAATCTGCAAAATGTTTCCTTTAAAACAAGACCAAACTTAGGTATATATATTCCAAAGCATTCTTGAATAACAACCATTTAAGTTTTTGAATAGTGCATTTTAACCCCCATTCTCAAAAAGTGGGGTGACAGCTAGGGTTGCCAACCGTTCCGTATAATACGGAATCGTCCCGTATTTGACACATAAAAGTCTTGTTCCGTATTGAACTGATAGGGAATGCACTTTGTTCCGTATTTTTGAGAATCAATTCAGTGCAAATCCATGATAGACACATAGCTTCTAATATGTCAGACAGACTACGAATAAACGAAGACCTGCTATAATGGCAAATTCGCTGAGGCCATGTCCCCTTGACGGGCTCTGATATGTAATGACGTAGAGTTGGCTCGTTGGTCGCACGTCAGTCGCCCGCGCCATTGGATGTGCAGTTGCCGCAGCACAGCCTATGAGCGAGCCAGACGCTCAATGTGCTAGCTGTGCAGCTGCAAATGCGTTTTACATATAGGCTTCAGTAAATCGAGGAAAAGGAGTTTGTAGGCTATGATAAGAAAAACTACTAAATTAAAAATATTATTTTTTTGCACTGGAAAGAACATTCTAGAAGTCTAATTCTATTGAATAAGTTCGCACAAGGCTACAGAAAACTGTTGTGTTTATTTTTCTTCAAATGCAGTCTAAGCTGATGAGTTTTGAATGTTATATGTTGTATTTGTTTAAGTTAAAAATAAAACGTATTATAATCTATAGGCCTAATAAGTTGCATTATAATATGCTATAATGTATGATAGCATACAATATTCACCAGAAGTCATCATTTCAGGGGTTATTTTTCAAAATGTTCTTCTGTGGGGGCATGTGCATAGAATGCAAAGTGCACAGAATACACTTCTGTGATAAAGTTTATCCGTCTTCGACTGCAAGAACTGAAGCGCGTCACAAATGAACCGAAACTCGGCGTAGGCTATATATTATACTTGCCTCACAGACATGACAAATAGGCCTATAGACGGTCAAAATATGTCTACTTTTACACGAAACAATTAGAAATAAATAGTTTGATTATGTAATCCATATATCGCGCGCGCAGTCACTATTGCAGGAATGACGAGTCAGCATCGCCATATTCATCTTTGCAGCCAACACACTCAGTAAGCACTTGTTTATTAATAAAGCAGTCAAATGCCACTTATCTAAATGACTATAGACCGTTGGCACTCACCTCCATTCCTGCCAAGTGTCTTCAGAAGCTGGTCACCACTCACGTTAAAAGCGCAATACCATCATCACTTGATCCACACCAATTTGCATACAGACGGAATCGGTCGACTGAGGACGCCATCGCCATCGTGCTCCACATGTATTTGGAACATCGAGCACAAGAACACCTACGCGAGACTCCTCTTTGTCGACTTTAGCTCGGCCTTTAATACAATCCGGCCGTTCAGACTCCGAGCCAAACTGCACCACCTTGGCTTCAACAACTCGCTGTGCAATTGGATTGTGGACTTTCTGACAAATCGAACACAGAGTGTTAGAGTAGGCAAGCACTTGTCCTCCACCCTATCAATCAACACCGGGGCCCCCCAAGGGTGTGTGCTTAGCCCCTTGCTCTACACTATTTACACATGACTGCTCTGCTTCTCTTTGTTCCAATCTCATTGTTAAATCTGCCGACGACACAACAGTGCTCGGACTCATTAACAACAACGAGGCGGATTACCGGACTGAAGTGCAACATCTAGCGTCATGGTGTGTCAATAATCACCCGTCTTTGAACATCAAAAAGACTAAGGAGATTATTGTGGACTTCCGCAAAAGCAGACCCAATCACTCTCCTCTCTATATTGGCAATGAGGTGGTAGAGAGGGTGCCATATTTCAAATTCTTGGGAGTATCTGTGACCGAGGACCTGTCCTGGGGAACCAACATTACCTCAGTGATAGGGAAGGCCCAGCAACGCCTCTACTACCTGAGGCAACTGAGGAGCGCCAGGATTCCAAAACAGCTGATGGTCAACTTTTACAACTGTGCCATCAGCAGTGTTCTGACATATGGCTTCTTAGTGTGGTATTCCAGCTGCACTAAGGCCCATCAGCAGGCACTCCAACGAGTGGTAAATACAGCAGGTAAAATCATTGGGACCACTCTCCCAGAGATTAGTACCATCTATGATACCCGCTGTCTGAAGAGAGTGCATAGCATCCTGCGGGACCGGCATCACCCGGCCCATCATCTGTTCCACCTGCTGCCCTCAGGGAGAAGGTACAGGTCTATTGGTGTACGGTTGTTGTATGCTCTGAACACAATTTCGTTGCTGTTCTCTGGATGACAATGACAATAAACGTGAAATGAAAACAATTAAAATATCTCCTTGCTATTTTTTCCCCGACACATTTTTTCTTTTGCCAGTGCTTTGCAGCAAGCTTTATGCGTGCTGAGCGCGAGGCATATATCCCGGCCCCCAGTAGCCTATATTTAATTCAATTCACATTTATTTGTATAGCATTTTTCACAATACATATCGTTTCAAAGCAGCTTTACAGAAAATGTATGTGTCTAAATTACAATTTAGAGTGATCTGTTATCAGAGGTGACAGTGTGTAATGCATTTCAATTAATTTTCATTCAGTTTCATTGTTAAACAATGCATTAAGTTAAGGCAGAAACAATGCGCTCATTGAAGTAAAGAATAGGCTACATGTTGTTAAATGATTAGGAAACATTGACAACTTAAGCATTGGTGCTTTTTTACAGACTCAAATATGAGTGTAAAAAAGTTAACAAACTGAAAAAATAAAAGTTTTTTTTTTAGATTGTGTAATATTGTTAAAACGGATTTCATAAAATTGGTATCGAAAAAAGTATCGTTCAGGAACCGGTATCGAAGTCAAGGTATCGGTATCGATATCGAAAATTGTGTTACGACACCCAGCCCTAGCTATCATACTCGTTCCATGGTCTGACAGAAAATATGTAAATGAGAACAGCTGTATTGGACATTTGGTGGCCATATATTATATAAAAATTACAGTATGTGAGCGCTGAGAGAAAACCGATGTTAACTGTGCAGACAGTTGGTGAATTACGTCATCTGGTGACATTTAGTGATTTTTTTGAGCAGCCTTCAGCTACTTTCCATTGAAAATAGTTGGCAAATAGTTGGTCTTTTTAGAGTCAAATTCTCCTACCCGACTGTAGTTCAGGATTTTTGAAACAGATTCTGAGACGAAGACAATTTTTCCACGATCACAGCCAACCACAAAGAGAAATCCATCCGCAGCCTGGACAAGAGAGAGGGAGAGATCGTTTAGGTTTAACGTTGTCATTTCGCAATTGCAAACCGTCAAAATGTCCAAAAGCTATTTTTGGAGGACCTTCCAACCACATCATCAATAATTTACTGTGATATTTCTTCTCTATTATGCATAGCTTCAAGACATAGTTCTATAAATTGTAGGATTTACCCTTAGGACAAGGTGCTTGAGCTCATCATCTGGGAGGAATGCAGGTTTGTAATTGGCTTCTGCAAAGGAGTTGGTCGCTCCTGAAAAAAAAGGCACTCCATTACACCACAATAACATTCATCACTGTATTACAATGTTTGTTATGCTTTAATTACATTTTCATGAGGAAAAATACATTTTCAAGCTCAATATTAATCTGTGTGCATGCTAGTCTACACAAAAAGCTAATTTTAAAGACAGTCGTCTAAGGTACCTTTGAGTGATTTGAGGTGCTGGACAGCCATTCGTAACACAGTGAGTTTGTCAAGCTTGCGGGACATGGGGTTACAGGTGGGGATCATCGCTGCCAACTCGTCAATCAAGTTATTCATCTTATCTCTCCGTCGTTTCTCGATCTGACTGTGAGGTTCCCTACAAGATGACATTATGTTGTAAGAACCACGGTACTCAACGTTGCTGAAATATAACGTCACTAAACAGCAAACTACTTTAGTCTTTGAGTTTCAATGGGAGTTGAAATTGCAAATAAAAAGGGGGAACAAATAAATAAATAAATAAAGGGAGAAAAATAAAGGGGGTAAAGGAGAATAAATAAATTAAATTACAAATAAATAATCCCCATAAATATTTAGAGACAATAAGTACCTGATGCACTTAATTTTTAAGTGCTGGTCATCTCCTTCTGATCTATAAAAACAATACAATAAAAGGCATAAACACGTTAAAAATAAAGAAAAAAATTGTGGATCAAGGAGAGTCATGCTTCGTATCGATAATGGTCATAATACCTTTCCTGATCATCCTCCATATCCTCGTCTAGATTTGATGCAGATTTTGTTTCTCTGGAAACAAAGTGGTGAGATGAGTAAAGTGACTCATGAAATGCTGCCGTGATTCTAAGAGGACATTATACACAGACCACGCACTTCCCTTCCCAACACATCTCGACTCATTCAGAAAAGCAGGACAGGGGATAACAGGCCAAACAAGAGGTTATTAGTCATACAAATCAGCTAAAAAAGCCCAAAATCTCACACACACATATACTCTTTCTAGACACTTGAGGCGTGGGGGTATGGCATATATAGTCATTTATGTGGGAAGCACTGTTTTTTTTTTTTTTACAAAAAATACAAAATTAAAATACAGAATAATGCAAAAATCAAAGAGGCAGAGGTAAGTCAATATATTGCTAGGCAAAACCCAAAAGATCAGCTGTTTACAGCTTTAGTACAACTTCTCAATTAGCCAAATATAATTAAACAGATATGCAAGTATGTACAAGTGACCAATCAGAATTAAGAGACAGAACTAACTATTTGTATTCATGTTATAAAGTTATACAATATGAAGATTATGAACAAACATGACTTTTGCTTTGTGTCTATCACCTTCCTAATAAACAAATAAACTATACAAAGGAGATAGAGTTAAATGATAAAAAATTAACAAAATGTAAACTTTAGGAATAAATTACACTACCATTCAAAGAAAGAAGTCTCTTATGCTCATCAAAGCAGCATTTATTTGATCAAAAATAAAGTAAAACAGTAATATTGTGAAATACTATTATAAATTCAAATAACTCTTTAATAAATTAAAATGGTCACGACCCTTCAGAAATCATTCTAATATGCTGATTTTATTATTACAGCTGAAAACTGTTGAACTGCTTAATTATTTTGTGAAAACCGTGATCCATTTTTTTTTCCAGGAATCCTTGATGAATAGAAAGTTCAAAAGAACAGCATTTATTTGGAATATAAATTATAAATGTCACATTTGACAAACTTAAAAAAAAAATCTGTGCTCCTTGCTGGATAAAAGTATTAATTTCTTTCAAAATAAAACAACTTCTGAAAAATTGTGTACCGGTAAATAAAATTTAAATCATTGGAGTAATTATTTTTAACTTAATGTTTTATTATTTAAAAAAGGCAATACCATACTGTTATTTACATTGTTAATATACAAAACATTTCATCTTTAATTTGATTTTACTGCAAAAATAATAATATTGTGATATGCACAGAACTGCTGTCATATTTTTGTCAAACTACTAGAGACAAATAAATAAAAAATATTTAAAAATGTACTCACGGGATGTCCATGCTGCCTTTCCGTTTCCTGGGCAGCTCCATGCCTGAGGCCATGCCGATGACTGAGGTGGGGGTCATCAAACCAGACAGAGAGACGGAGAGGCCCTGGGGTTCCTCTAATGCATCTCCTGCCATTAGTGGGAGGGATTTATTTTAGTAAAGTGACAAAAAGAAACGTGCCAAAACATTTTGAAGTAGGCAGGATGTTCAACTACGTGCTACATATTGGAACCAGGACACCGTGGAATAGATTTCATAACAGACATCTAAAGAATCAGACCATCTGAAATCGGCACACAAATAGTCAAAGGATTTTTATGTGAATTCAGAATGATACTTTTTGTCTGTGTGGCGACCTAAATAATAAACAGGACATTTTTTTTTATCTTGTGAAAGCAGTCACAAGAAAAGAAAAAACATTTTGAGTGTAATCTTAAAACCCAGAAACCCAGTTTACACCTGGTTCTTAGAAACAGAGGAAGTTCAGAGAGAGCTACTTGCTGTATTGAGGCAGGCCGACCAAAAGCACAATACAGACAACCTACTTCACCACCGCAACTTGCATCACTCTTTCCTTTATGCTCATCTTTCGGCCTATTTAGACAATGAAACATCAATTAATATATGTTCTTTGGCTTCCTGTACAAACAAAGCTTCAAAACCAGAAGCCTTTATGGCAGTGTACCTAGGTTACACCATACAGCCGTTGAGTTCAAATCAAATAGATTTAGCAAAAAAAAAAAAAAAAAAAAAAAGTTTTTTTTTTACTCAGCAGAATTTAGTTACTCTTTCAAATGAAAGCAAAATAATCTGATGGAAAAAAAATCTCAACGTCAATAGATACCATTTCAGTTTTGGTTTCTATTTATCGAAAGAAAAAAATCCATGGCTTTCTGGCCTAGTGTGATTATTAAAATGCAGAAGAGTGCAATTTAAACAAATATATTCAAAGTTAAAGGGTAAGTACTCCACACAAACTCTAGCAGGTGGCTTGGTTCATGACATGATTTTGCGGAGTTGAAATGCATTGTGAATGCAAAATGCACCAGGCAGCTACTCTTTACTTTTTTTATTTGTGCAACTCTGAACATTTTTGCCACATTATTACTATACAAATCAAATAACACAACTGGGGAACCGAAGAGGGGATGACAACATTAATGGAAAGCATATTAAAAACAACAAACAAACATTTTCTACCAAACTCAAAGTAAAGTAAAGTAATGAAATGTAAACAGAAATGTTACTACTATATTATAAAATTCAATAATGATAATAAATTGTAATTATTATTATTATGATGACAATCAATAATAATAATAATAACTTCAATCGAAAAATTTAATCATAGTATTTGTTCAAATAACTGAAGTGTGACTTTTTTAATCAAATTCTGCAGCACTTCCTGCCACCAAGGGACATAATGAAGCTGTATTTGCCATCTGTTATTGCCATTGACCACCAAAATCCATTCACAAACTCCCTGCGAGCAGAGCAACTTATTCATGAACAGGCTTTCACAGTACAATCTGTTTTTCCCGCCTGCTTCACCTGTTCCTTTAAGCCTCTAAGACCAACAGACACACTCGTCCTCGGGCATGTGTACACGTGTGTACTGTGTGTGTGTTTTCACAGTGCCATTAGGATCGGGCGACAATGGCACGGGCCAGGCCGAACACAGCTTGTGGCCCTGGCTCCTATATTTAACAGTCCTCTGCAAGCCTTGTGACCTAAATAGACGTTAACAGATCGGCAACAACCTGATGTTTAATCCTGTGTGCTGGAGTAAAGATCTGCGGTGGGATTATTTGGTTTTATGAGGGCGATAGGAAGGCCGCACCCAACAACGAAGAGCTCCGTCTTTCACTGGCTCATGATATTATCTGGACTCCACTGACCTGCATTTAGATGCTAGCGCTCATGACAACTGTGTGATGTCATTTGCACAAGAGAAAGCCATTTGCCATTTCACTGACTCACTATTCATACTGATGTGAAGATTTTCAAGGACCATTCAAACGCATACACGTGCATACATACATGCATATGAGTAGGAGGAATGGAACAATTATATTCCAAAGTAGTAAGTATTCAACCTCAAAACGAAAACATCACTCAACATATTAACATTACCTGCTTCTTTATCAAAACAAATGCATTGTAAGTGTAATTATACTCTTTAAAAGCATTAAAAGCAATACACACCCACACATTGAAAAAGTGCCTCAGTAGTCAAGTCAGTACTAGATAGTCCAACTAAATTACTTGAAAAAAAAGGTCACTCAGTCTGAACACTACTTGATGATTATGTCATAAGGTGAGCTAATTATTCATTAGGCTATACTTTACGCTCTTACCATAGAGCTGCATGAGAAACATGTCCAAACTCAATTTACTTCAACCATTATGCAAGAAATGTGACAAACGTGCATGAAAGTAGGTCAGGGAATCGATTTTAGCACACTTTTGGCACCACACCTTGGTAGTATTTTGCGTTTCATCAACCTGAGTTAAGCATTAAAGGTATACTCCACCCAAAAATGAAAATTCTGTCATCATTTACTCACCCTCAAGTTGTTGCAAACCTGTATGAGTTTCTTTCTTCTGCTGAACACAAAGGAAGATATTTTGAAGAACGATTGGAACTTTGGCACCTTTTGACTTTTTTTTTCTACTATGGAAGTCAATGGTGCCAAACAACTGTTTGGTTCCAATCGTTCTTCAAAATATCTTCCTTTGTGTTCAGCAGAAGAAAGAAACTCATACAGGTTTGCAACAACGACAGAATTGTCATTTTTGGGTGGAGTATCCCTTTAAAGTGATTGTTCAGCTTATTGTTTGACACAGGTAAACACAAGGTGCAATAACGTCATTTGTTAGCTGATCATAGTATTTGTGTCCTACAAATCTTTAAATATGTCAATATGGTTAAGTTATCTACCTGGCATCTTTGAGGTTTTGTGAGTGAAGAATGATTTGTGATTCGCGGCCTAAGCTTAGACAGGTCATTACATCGTGTTATACGCTTTCTCATCTTTAAGATGGGTATCACAATAACTTACGCTGCCAAATCAGCTTTTCATTTTCAATCAATATATCACTTTCTCAGAGTTGTGTGATATACTGTAAAGTCGCAATTGCGAGTTATGAAGTCAGAATTGTGAGACATTAATTTGCAATTCTGAGCAAAAAAACTAATTATTTTAACATCAGAATTGAATGTTCTGACCGTATAACTCGAAAAAAAACTCACTTCACATAAGGTGATCATAGTGTTTGTTAAAAAAACTTTGGTATGATTTTTTTTTTTAAAATCAAACTCTGCAACACTACCTGCCACCAAAGGACATAATGAAGCTGTATTTGCCATCTGTTATTGCCATTGACCACCAAAATCCATTCACAAACTCCCTGTGAGCAGAGCAACTTATTCATGAACAGGCTTTCACAGTGCAGTCTGTTGTCCCACCTGCTTCACCTGTTGCGTTAAGCCTCTAAGACCAACAGACACAATTGTGAGAAAAAAAGTCAGAATTGAGGGCAGAGGGGTCTGCCATCGACCTGAATGGATTTATTTTCTGTCAATGACTGGCTGAATGTAGATTACTCCACTTATGAAATGGCTACTTGCCAAATACAACTAAATAAATATATATATATACACATGAAATAGATTAAAGGTGCCCTAGAATGTTTTTTTTTATTATTGTATAATGTTTCCTGGGTTACCCTTATAATGTTAGTATGTTTTTTAGATAAAAAATAATCATAATTTAGAAATAAATGGCATTTTTCCTAGCCTGCTTTTAGCCTCTGATTTGAACACTCTGTTTGAAGGGGCGTGTCTGCTGTGGGATTCAGTGTAACTGCGGCCACTGCTGTGATTGGCTGACATGCTTGCATATGAAATAGCTACGCATTACATGTGAAACTCTCTCCCGAATACTTTTACTACTGCTATTATACGTTTTTACTATAACAGCTATCGAGATTAACGAATCGTGAGATGTTTTTAAAGTATTTAGATCTATTCCCATCACATAAAATGTTGCCGTGATGAGCATTGAGCAGATGACAGTCTGTTGATCGCGAGAATGAAGATCTTATCATTGCAAAGCAGTTTCTGCACTCTCTCTGCTTTCACCAATGCAAACACGATGATGTAAATACAGTAAGAGCTTCGTTGTGCAGTAACGTGCGTCATTGATTTCATAACGAGTTTGGCAAGTGTCCAGATAAACTCGCGCTGTGTGGAAAGATTGTTCTTTGATCGCTTTCTGTATATAATTTGTTCACAATTTAAATAGGATTATTTTCATCCTACTAAAAGAAACGATGTGAAGCTGATATTTTAGTCACTGGCTTGACTTACTGATGCATAAACAGTATTGAACGATTTTGAGAGAAAGATTACCTGTCTGAACTTGAACAATTACACATCAGAAAGTGTTGCTTGGTAGCTCGATCCGAGGCCAGCTCTGTATTGGCCCAAGTTGAGTAAACAGTCGTGAAATGTTTGGAAATTTCCAGAGAAAATAAAATTAACCCATTGTTTCTTCAGAGGCCCAGATGAAGGAACTAAAAAATACTTTTGTGTTCATGTGTACATCCACACTGAGCAACTGCCATGCTTCGGCTGCGCAGTTCCGCCTGGCATTGATGGCATTATGCAAATATTTGGAGGCGTACATATTAATGATCCCGACTATTGCGTCACAGTCGGTATTGTGTGGAGAACCGACCATTTTTCAGGGGTGTTTTTCATAAACGTGAATTAAATGAGAACGCGAAAACAGTCCAGTTTGAGATTCACTCTATGTCATGTCCATGCACTGAACTCTTGTTATTTGACTATACCAAGGTAAATTCAATTTTGAATTATAGGTCACCTTTAAATAAACAGACATCTTGCAATTATTTGTTGTGTGAGGTTTAATCTTAAAAATAAAAACTATGGTTACTGATTAAGTGTGAAATTGACAAATGGTATAGTGCCTTATTAAATTTGAAATGCAAATGATGGATGAATCAGATGAAAAACCATGCTAATTCTTCCCATGGTTGAATAAAACACTGGTGCATTCCTGTCACTAAAGCCAAAATGTCGATTACTAATGTCTAGGTTGTTTAAA